CACGAATCCTATTATTTTTTTTTCTACCTGTACAGTTGTTTTAATTCTGATGAAGTCCTATTTTGTTTTTCTTCTGTTCTTTTTCTTTTTATATTGTGGGCCTATACCAAATTTATAATATGAGGATTGGTATCTGCTGATAAACCCAGCGTCAAATAAGTAAAGTTTGGGTCTAATATCACAGCTATCGAACCCCATCGTATGATGGGAAACTTTCGTATAAGAATGCGTTCCACTAACTTTCGTTCTTTCTTTCGCATAGCCTTACGTGATTCAGTGTTGCTAAATATTTTTTGGAAAAATTAATCTCGAAATAAGGCATAAAAATCGCCAAATGTCTAATTTAAACGCGAAAAAGCAGCAGTGGCTCTGTCTCAACTGACAGTTCAGTTGTAAACAAACAAATTGTAAATAAACAAACAGAATAAAGATTGTGTTCAAACTATTTGTGCTATTAAAAAATAAAAAAAATGAATATTTCTGTAGCCCTATTTTTTATGAATGATGTGGAGGAGGTTCAAAATGTGCCACGGAGGCATTTAAGAGATGCTTCGAATTTATTTGAAGTACCTAACAACCAGTAAGTATGATTGTATTTTTACATTTTGAAATAATAAAAAATGAATTTTTCTAGGTTTGTGGCCAATTTTCGTGTGTATATATATATATATATATATATATATATATATATATATATATATATAAATTGTTCGTTGGTAATTGAATCAGTTGAGAACGGCGGAAACGGTTTGGATAATTTTTTCAAAATGTTTGTTCTACCCCGAGTTAGGCTTTTATGCAAAGAAAAAGTGGCCACGCCCATTTGATCGATTTACCAAATATTGTAATATTTGCAAAAACCATGAAGATATCTGTTCCACAGTTAGTATACGACGTAATTTTGACTCGCCCTCCAGCCCTAGGTATCTGTTTGGATTCAGAGAAACTGAACACACCTACTTCATTAAACCAATATGTAAATATCTTAAAAAAGTGTAGCAGTTGAGAACGGCTTTGTTTATTTGTAATTAGGGTGAAAAGTTTTTCATGAAAGAAAATTTTGATAAAAACCTCTATTAAAAACGGCGAAACTGACAAAAAATTGACTCTTCTTTTTTGATATGGATTTTTGTGTAGAATTGTTTCAGAATGCATTTTGGAATTGAAAATGCTTAAAATTAAACATTTATTGCCGGTATTGATTTCACAATACTGAAAACTTTAAATGTCAAGTTACAGATACTTTGGTAGAAATTGTAACAAAAACATGCAAAAGGACGAATTTTTAGTGGTATTATTATACCTAAACGAAATGGACATATTCTAACTTCCTTGGAATATTGTATAAAAGATGAAAGATTAACCTAAATACGGTTATAGTTTAATTGGCATAGGATTTTACGCTGGTTAAAAGCTAGGTACCTTAAAACATGATCTTCATAATTACTTTTGATTTGGAAAATATTGCTAACACCTTTATAATACTGAGAATTGAGGTATGAAAATTTAATTTAATACGATGAAATAACGTATATAAAATGCACGGGTGAATAGGAAATAAAGTGGACTTATGTTGTAATTTTTTGTCAAAAGATTTCTAACATCAAAAATGCTTTTGAGCCCTTCAAAATACCTCAAATCGGTCAATATATTGGAATATAAGGATATAACATTATATGAGGGCTATATCTAAATGGGAACAAATTGCAACATCAATCATCCTAAGAATAGTATAAAAACCTATTTGAAAGGCACATATTAAATTTGGTCACCTCTATCGTAATTGCAAATGGTGAACGAAGAGGCTCACGGACATAATTTAATCAACAAAGATTTCTACTCTTTAACATACTTAACGGACTAGATTTGGAAATAACCCATTGCAACCAGTGCCGAGTATGAAGAGACACTGTAATATGCGGACTATACAAAATAGTGGCGCGAACTGGGAAATTACACTTGAGAAATTTTTCGGGTCAAACGTTTTAAGGGTCCACCATACACAGAGGGCCTCATATGTTTTGCTCTATACTCCACAAAAGTTATGATAAAGTTTTGAATTTGATACAATCCTAGGGGTTACGTGAAGAATAATTTGTACAAAATATGTATCAGGTCGGTCTGCATTGTGATATATCCCCTCTTTATTGATACAGCCCTATTCAAATTCTTCAAATGTAGGTAATTTGAGATTTAAGAAAGAACAACACATTCTTTCGAATAATTATATTTTTGTTAGGACCAACAGGCCAATAATAGTGAAGCTTTTAATATCCTTGCAAGTAAAAAACAGAGTCTAGAAAATAATTTTCTCTTAGTTCCAAAAGTGGCTCAAAAGTTGATTTTTTAAGGATGTTTTGAACAAGGTTCAACAGACCGAGGGTCACGAATAGGACCATGCTTTGGTATAACCCTTATACGAAGGCATCCGCTGAATACAGCTATTTCCAAGGTCTTGGTCACATTTTTCAATTGATTTTACTCTTATTTGGCATCTTAGCTTTTAAGGGGGTAGAAGACCACTTCGCTGAAATTTTTCAATGTCAATGTTTCGGAGAAGCGCCCTCATAAAAGTACCTCCTGATTTTACCTATTTCGAGGGTTTTTATTATATTTTCGAATCGATTTGGCTTAAAATGTTTGTTTAGGCTAATATGGGGGTAGAGAACCATATTACATGGGCTATTATAAACAGTTGACGTATACTTTTTTAAATACGTGACTTTTTATTTCGGTTTTTGACTGTCAAATTAAAATCTCTGCCTGAAAAATAGGATCAGGTTTTTTTAAAATACTATAAAGTACCCGCTACGTGAACATGAATTGACATTTTTGCTATGCATATTTATTTCTATTTAGTGGAGTCATTATTTATACTAAATTTTGTGCCACTTATGTGAGGCAGATCTGTAAATTATAATACTTTAAAAAGAATGCATTAAAGACTAAAACTACGGACCGGACCACATCGGCCACCAAAATCCCCGAATACCAATCCGTTGGACTGTGTCTGGAGTATTTTGGAAAGCAGGATTGGCTCTAAAAATACCAAAGTGTAAATCACCTCAAGCAAGCGTTCGCCCAAAATGGGGCAAAATACGCAGAGCAACATTCGGGCAGCGTGTGGCGGTTTCAATTGGCCCTTTGAAGGCCATAATTCGTCCCCAAGGTGACCAATTCGAACAAATCTAAACTAATTCTAAAATTTGATGCTAAAAAAATTTGATAGTGATGTTTTCCGATTGGCGGACAAATGGACATGCAAACACATAGACCTTATGTGGACTCTAACGTCCAATTTGAGGTGTTATGGCAATGGGTGTAAAAGAGTAATAACCTTTGACTATTCTTAAATCATTCTGCCCTTAATTATGAGGTGGACACAACTAAATGGCACACGGCACGATTTTCTAAACATTCCTAATTGTAAAGTACAGCGCATTTGAATGGAAGATTTAGTTTTCTAACTCTTAAATTAAAGCCTATGGCTGAAAAATGGAATCCAGTTGTTTTAAATACTTTAAATTTTTGCCATAGGTATTTAGTTCGATTGAGCCAAGTCATTATTTATAATAAAAATTATTCCACTTATATAGCCACACTCGAAGCAACTTTACTGACACCCAGTTACAAACAAAAAAATGTTTCCTCCTTTTACTTTTGATTTTTCCACAATTATACCTTTAGTTCATTTGTCGGTTGAGCAATCTTGGTCACTTTTTATCGAATTCGCGATATTATTTTTCTTGGTCAGTTCTTGGTCACCATTCACACCAGTTGTGTTTTTCCAATACCATATTAAATTTCTGTTGTCCGTATAAGGCAGTGTGTGCATCACACTAAGTTAATTATTACTGATATGTGTTATATGCTATAAGAGCGTAACTTAAACATTCTATAATTACAACATACACATATTCATACACACATTTTTATAGAACTTTAAAATTTTATTCGTTCCGAAAAGATTTTTGACGCAAGTTTGCTTGTTTCTCATAATGCGGTATGTTCATACATACATACATTTTTAAAGACATTTTTAGTTTTATTCGTTCCGAAAAAATTCTTTATAGATGTTTGACGCAAGTTTGCATGTTTTTTATTAAAACACGATCTTGTTAATGACGATTTACAATATTATTGTTGCAAAATATATCGCCCTTTTATTCGATTTCCAAACTGCTGGCAAGTCAGCGACAACATTTTGCTTGATATCAAATTGACTTTCCTATGACCAAATGTACTTCCTTCCGGCCTGCAAAGTTGGAGAACATAAAGATAATATGGTTACCTTCAAATACATATTAAGTATGCCAGTCGATCTTTTATGTATCACTATCGCAGTTTCATAGTATAAAATATTCTCGACATACAATACAATGTGAAATGCTACAATTGCGGCGGCAGAGGCCATTACGTATAAGCAATGTGATGTGTAATGTCCTCTGCCGCACCATTTGTGGCATTTCACGTTGTTGCTGTATGTCCACGAATCCTATTTTTTTTTTTCTACCTGTACAGTTGTTTTAATTCTGATGAAGTCCTATTTTGTTTTTCTTCTGTTCTTTTTCTTTTTATATTGTGGGCCTATACCAAATTTATAATATGAGGATTGGTATCTGCTGATAAACCCAGCGTCAAATAAGTAAAGTTTGGGTCTAATATCACAGCTATCGAACCCCATCGTATGATGGGAAACATGAAAGAGTGCGGTTCCCTCAGAGAAGAAGTTGACAATACTGCGGCAATAACTGAAAAACATTAACAATTTTATGCTACGAAGCCAATATTATATATATATTTACAGCCTGTTCCACGATCTCGAAAGAAAATTTGTGCGAACGAAGGCTACTCACTCACTTTCGTATAAGAATGCGTTCCACTAACTTTCGTTCTTTCTTTCGCATAGCCTTACGTGATTCAGTGTTGCTAAATATTTTTTGGAAAAATTAATCTCGAAATAAGGCATAAAAATCGCCAAATGTCTAATTTAAACGCGAAAAAGCAGCAGTGGCTCTGTCTCAACTGACAGTTCAGTTGTAAACAAACAAATTGTAAATAAACAAACAGAATAAAGATTGTGTTCAAACTATTTGTGCTATTAAAAAATAAAAAAAATGAATATTTCTGTAGCCCTATTTTTTATGAATGATGTGGAGGAGGTTCAAAATGTGCCACGGAGGCATTTAAGAGATGCTTCGAATTTATTTGAAGTACCTAACAACCAGTAAGTATGATTGTATTTTTACATTTTGAAATAATAAAAAATGAATTTTTCTAGGTTTGTGGCCAATTTTCGTGTGTCGAAGGAAGTTTTTCGGTCTCTTTTGGATATGATGGAAGAGAAGTGGGTGCACGGTTGTAGAACTACCCAAATCCGCCCCGATTTAAAACTTGGCACATTCTTGCGGTTTTTGGCGACAGGAAGCTACCAACAGAATTTAGGGAACGAAGCCTTGACTTCAACAGCGAAGTCGACAGTGAGCAGAACCATTGAGGACCACATTTGCGGCCAATGGATAAAAAAGCCGACACTCACAGAGGAACACAACACAATGTAGGCTTTCTATGAAAGAACAATGTATGGTATTTAATTTAAAAACTAATTTCTTCCAGTGGTTTTTCAGGCATTGCCTGCTGTTTCCAAAAATTTGCACTCCTCTGGCGAACTCAGGATTCTCCTCCATATACTCAACTAGTGCCCGCAGCTGTGTAGTTATTTTTTCGTGCTGGAATCGAGAAAATAAAAAAAAATATATATTTGTTGTTCACATATTAAATTGCATTTATTATTTTAACTTACATTTTTGTTTCCATTTTCAATCAAGCAATGTTTATGTTAAAACAATTTTCCTTAATTGTCATCATACGACAGCAAACACACAAGTGACTGATTTTGACATTTGTGTTCGCATGCGTACGAAAGAAAAAATATAGTTGAACGCAAAATTACACTGAAACGCTTACGTTTTCTTTCGCTTTGATTTTCGTGCAAATTTTCGTTCTGATGGATTTTAGTGGAACGGAAATCAGCTGTTTGTCGTGTAAAAGTAGTGCGAACGTGTTCTTTCGATATCGCGGAACAGGCTGTTAGATTGCCTGTAGTTGTGATAATTCAATTTGTAGATGTTTATGTTCTAAAAAAGGAAGACAGATGGAATCAAGTTCTGTCTATATGTTTTTCCTTCCGAAAAAAAGAGTTGGTCAGCCGTCAATTCGCTTCATTACCTTCATGCTACCTAAATATATAAAATTTTCTTTGTCGACACAGACAGATTCTTTTCGGCAAGAACAATCCAAAGATCCGGAAGGATCTGTGGATAAGCAGGTCGTCACACCCTTTGGGCGGCTTCGTTCTAATATATGATACTTCGATACATCCATTTGCTAATATAAAATGCAGTTTTTTCCAAGCCAAAATTTCTGTTATATATACCGAACAATGCCCTATTTGCAAAAAAGGATAAACCTAAAAAAACGTGAAAAAGTTTACCAATAAAATCAGAATGAAAATTATTTTGTTACCTTGGTGATATATTTTTGTCATTTTTTATATTGCATTAATATTTTTCAATCTTGACTTATTACAATGAATTTTACATTTTGTAACACTTTTTACAAAATGTGTTCGTAGAAATACGAAATTACTTAACTGATTGGACTAAAATGATTCTGAACCTGAAAATAGGTCAAAAGTAATTTTTAAAAGAAAGATTTAATCAGAAGTGGCATACGTGTTAAATTGAAATTTTTTGCAGTGCGGTCGGTATACTGGATGGTTGTTGTAAAGATAAAATTCCGATGCCACGTTCAATTTTTAAAATCTTAATAATTTGAGAAAAAGTCGTATAATAGTAAATTCGACAATAAAAACGCCATTAATATTAATTTTAATACAACATGCAATACTTTAAGTTGCAAAATGAGACTATAGATAGGATCTAGAATTTACTAAGGGCAAATTAAATACTTTCAACGCACATGAAAATTCTAATAATATAATGACCTGAATAATTTTTCTTTATAATGTTATTTCAAAGTTAACAAAAATGTCAATAGAAAATGTATGTTTCCCACGCATTTATATATGTATAGTTTTGTGTTGTCATAATTAAAGAAACAACAAAAGTGTAATTCATTCATATTAAGTACCTCATGTGTTACGAATTAATGACATGGAATGATACTGTTTCATCAGTACATTACTTTAAGAACTGTTTGAATTTTATGATTATAATTCTCACCTTGTTTGTAATGTTTTACACATATTTTAGTTTTTTGCATTTTTATATTATTTTCTAAAATTATAATATTTTTATTTTCTAAAATTTGTTTGATTGGCATCTGCCGCAAATAAAGAAAATTTTGATTGAGAGTCTTCAGCCATATAAGAAAAAAATAAATGTATAAAAATGCTATGTTTGTTCCATTTAATACATTGTCTATATCTTCATCTGTCTATGAAATAACCTACATTTAAGAATTGAGAAGGAGTGAATTCAATATTTCCACTCAAACCCCTGAATCGATATAGACGACATCTGCTGATTCGAATATTTTCGAACACAAACTGTGAGAGCATTTCGTTGTCTTTACCATAGACACATAGCATAGACAAATGAAAATATAGACAACGAAATGCTCTCACCGTTTATCTTCGAAAAAAATCGAATCAGCAGATGTCGTCTATATCGTTTCAGGGGTTTGAGTGGGAATATTGAAGTCACTCAATTCTAAAACATTAAAAATAACAAAAACTGTAGGATATTTGTCGGTTGGAAATTGTTCCATAATAAAATAAATGTGAAAATTACGTGATGACATCAAAAAATTCCGGAATAATCAAGTAAAATTCTTGAAAAACGATAAAAAGTGTTTTCGAAGTCGAGTGGGTTGAACGCGTAAATCAGCATATTGACTATGCAAAACATGATGAGAGCCACCTGGATAAAAAGACGAAACTAACTTTTCGTTGTCTATGTTGTCTATATCTTCATTTGTCTATGTCTATGGTCTTTATCTTCATTTGTCTATGCTATGCATCTATTGAAGCACTTTTTTCGAAGACAACAACTTTTTAGTTTATACCTTCATTTAACTATGTTTAAACTACCTAAGCACTAAATTAGCTTAATATAAAAATATATAAACTAAACTTAATATAAACTAAAGCCTCAACCACTGTTTCAGCAGTCAGTGTTTCTTAAATCTGTTATGCAATTATTTAAAGCGGTAAATGTTCTATTTTCTTGAGAGGAAAGAATATAAACGTTAAACAATATATTACACATAACTCAATTGCTCATGGACTCCACATGCAACGAAATATTATATAGTAGCAACACTGAACATAACGATATGTCATGATAAGATGACAAACTTTGTCATAATATCAACGCCACCTACCGTATTTCGGCAATGTATATACTCCTGCAATACTATGGAGAAATAATCACTTTTAACCCACTAAAAAGTATATTTATTCTAGGTCGATTTATCTTGAATGCTATAAAAATATTATATTTTTATAAAATAATATAAAAATGCAAGAAAAAACGATTTAATATAATAGAATCATAAATGGACGAACCTATAAAATGAAAAGTGAGTAAAATAAATGAACGTAAATAGCCGAACAACACACATACTGTTGAAAGAATATATTGGACAAAGTTTAAAGAATGTTTATCCGACGTTAATAAATATTTTGAAAAAGATATTGACAATGTGATATACATTATGTATAAAAACATTACAAACGCGTTAAAAATTATAATCTTAAAATTTAAAGTGTTCTTAAAGTTATGGATGGATGACTGATGAAACAGTATCATTCCATGTCCTTAATTCGTAACACATGAGGTACTTAATATGAATGAATTACACTTTTGTTGTTTCTTTATTTATGACCACAATATGTATAATTTTGAAATTGAATTGGAGAACCCGGTGCGCTTCACATTTCTTGTAAGACTTCAATGCGTAAAAAAACAAATCTCTCGGTCTGCCAACACGTGAACATGCCAGGCACAGCTGTCCATGAGAAAAGCAGGAACATGCCAAATTTAGTCCGCATACACGAAGAATTTGTCCTTCGGATTTATACATTTCATAGCAAAGCCAAGTGTGGAGGAAACTGCAATCTTTTGAAAAACTACTTATGACCTATTCTCAAGATCAGAATCATTACCATCCAAACCATCTAAATACCGAATATCGGGAGGTACCGCTATATGGGGGCTATACCAAAACGTGGACTTACACATGCAATGTTTCCCCACCGGAGCTAGAACCCACTATGACCAACAAATACCAATTTTTAGACAAATCCATGAAAAAATGCGGCAAAAATCATCAAAATACCGAATATCGGGAGGTACCGTCATATGGGTGCTATAACAAAAGTGGACCGATACATGTCATTTTCAATAACAACCATCCTAGACACAATACAAATTATTCTGCTAAATTTTGAAGATCTACGTCAAATAATGTGGCCTGTATCGTGATTTCAACAGGCAGACAGACAGACAGACGGACATCGTTAAATCGACTTAGAATTTTATGCTGATTATGAATATATATACATTATGGGGTCTACGACGAATATTTAGACATGTTACAAACGGAACAAGTAAAAAAAGGACGTGGACCTGCATAGGCAACTTTTATCATAATATTCAAATGTGAAAAATCGGTGAATTATGTGGCTAAAATCATCAAAATACAACATATAGGGAGGTACCATTATATGGGGGCCATACCAAAACGTGGACCTTCACAGACAATTTTCTGTCATAGGCTGTAGTATTCATTACGAACTTCAAACACCAAATTTGAAACAATTCCGGTGAATAATGTCCCTAAAATCATCAAAATACCGAATATCAGGAGGTGCCCTTATATGGAGGCTATACGAAGAGGTGGACCTGTATTGACAATTTCCTGTCACAGCTGTAGCATCAGTTACGAACTCAAATACCAAATTTGAAACAATTCCGGTGAATAATGTCGCTAAAATCATCGAAATACCGAATATCGGGAGGTACCGTTATATGGCGGCTATACCAAAACATGGGTCGATATATCTAATTTTCAATACCAACCATCCTAGACCTAACATAAATTGTTTTGCCAAATTTTGAAGCTCTACGTCAAAGAATGTGGTCTGTATCGTGATTTCAACAGACAGACGGACATCAGGACTTTTGGTATTGAAAATGGGTAATGTAGGTCCATGTCTTCGTATAGCCCCCATATAACGGTACCTCCCGATATTTGGCATTTTGATGATTTTTACGACATTATTTACCGGAATTGTTTCAAATTTGGTATTTGAAGATTGTAATAGATACTACAGCATAAAACAGAAAATGGGTCATGTAGGTCCACGTCTTCGTATAGCCCCCATATAACGGTACCTCCCGATATTCGGCATTTTGATGATTTTTGCGACATTATTTACCGGAATTGTTTCAAATTTGGTATTTGAAGATTGTAATAGATACTACAGCATAAAACAGAAAATGGGTCATGAAGGTCCACGTCTTCGTATAGCCCCCATATAACGGTACCACCCGATATTTGGTATTTTGATGATTTTAGCGACATTATTTACCGGAATTGTTTAAATTTTAGTATTTGAAGTTCGTAATGGATACTACATCTTATGACAGAAAATTGTCTTTGCAGGTCCACGTTTTATAACCACCATGGTACCTCCCAATATTCGGCATTTTGAT